CTGATCCCCCCACATGTGACTGTACTCGCCATGTCACAATCCCCCGTAGCTTGGAGACATCTTGCAGTTCGTGTTAGTTGAATCCAGCATAAAAGGGGTTAACAGTGTGACAGAGCGAGAATACATCTTGCAGGAGGATCGTCAGCGCCAGTGATCCGAGGGATGTGATTCAGTGGCTCGTGTAAGTTGAATCCAGCATAAAAGGGGTTAACAGTGTGACAGAGCGAGATCGCTGATCGTCTGCTTATGCCTGAAACTGGCACATGCGCAGTTGCGTCAAGGGGGGCAGATCTTCATGGGGGAAGATCTTGGTGCTACAAATTAACCACCTCCCGCCCGCCATATAGTCCAATGATGGGCACAAGGTGGTTCTCTCATTCTGATAGGCCGTCTTTTGACGTCCTCCCATTCTAACCATGCATGCGCGGCTCAGGGAGCGTGCAGCGCGGCGATCGGCATTGCGCTGTGTCCCTCGGACACAGCAGATCACCTATTCATGGAAAGAGCCGAAGATGTCAGCTCGGTCATGTGATCAGCTGTGTCCAATCACAGCTGATCACATGTAAACAGGGAAATGCCAGTTATCGACATTTCTCTCCTCTCGAGCTGTCACGCTGACAGCTCGAGCGGAAAGCAGAGCCGGTAATCGGCATTCCGCAGAGGGGACATGTACCCTGATGATCAGTGTGGCCCCAGAAGTGCCACCTGTCAGTGTCCATCAGTGCCAGCTGTCAGTGGTGAACAGTGCCATCAGTGCCACATATCAGTGCCACATATCTGCCCAGCTGAGCCCTTAATTGTCACCCATCAGTGCTAGTCAGTGCCATCTATCAATGCCAATCAGTGCCACCTATCAGTGCTGCCAGTCAGTGCTGCCTATCAGTGCCAGTCAGTGCCGCCTATCAGTGTGCAACAGTGCCACCTATCAGTGCTACCTAACAGTGCCACCTATCAGTGCCATATATCAGTGCTGCCTTTCAGTGCCCATCAGTGATGCCTGTCAATGCCCATCAGTGCCACCTACCAGTGCCTCCTCATCAGTGCCACCTATCAGTGTCCATCAGTGCATCTTATTAGTGCCCATCAGTGCAGCCTCATTAGCGCACATCAGTGAAGGAGAAAAAAAATCACTTATGTACAAAATGTTATAAGAAAAACTAAGAAAATTTTTTTTTTTTTTTACATTTTCAGTGGTTTTTGATTTGTTTAAGAAAAAATAAAAAACCCAGAGGTGATTAAATACCACCAAAATAAAGCTCTATCTGTCACAAAAAAAATGATAAAAATTTAATATGGGTACAATGTTGCATGACCGCGTAATTGTCATTCAAAATGCGACAGCGCTGAGAGCTGGAAATTGGCCTGGGCAGGAAGGGGGTAGAAGTGCCCAGTAGGTAAGCGGTTAAAGTATAGAAACATTGTATCTATTTATATCCAAATAGAAACATCTGTATCCAAAATGGATACAAATAGATACAATGTTGCAACTTTTTCTTCTGCATATTCTATTTCTTCTGTTTATTCGTATTCTATTTCTTCTTTTTATTCGTATTCTATTTCTATTTCTTCTTCTTCTGCATATATTCTATATAATTGCGGGCTGTAGACGGGACGAATATCAGCCAACCTTTTTTTTACCAATAGTGGTAATGTCGGCTGATTGAACGACCAATTTTTCGTTTTAAAAAAAACAAAAAAAACGTCAGTTTCTCTCCCCGTCTATGGCCTGCTTTACTGTAATAGGAGATGTGATTTGTACTAGGTTTGCAGTAACATGTATGGGTGACACAGAATTAGAACCAGAGACATAAAACTATTAGGTGTATTGTTACTGTCTTGTCTCATGTTCTGTCCCCCACTATAATGTACAGCGCTGAGCATAGCCTTTGGCGCTATATAAATACTGTATAATAATAATAATAAAAAATATGGGAGAAAAAAAAAACTCAGCGTCCCTGGGTGGGCTCGAACCACCAACCTTTCGGTTAACAGCCGAACGCGCTAACCGATTGCGCCACAGAGACCTGGCTGATGTAACAGAGAGAGAAGTGGCATCCTGATACATACAAATCAGTGGACAGTGCAGTATTGGATTTTAAAGTGAAGTAGATATTTTAAAATACTTTGATTTTTCACTGCTCTGGACTGCAAAAAGTTACTGCAGGGTTTTATAAATTCTTCTCTGAATTAAGGCATGTATTATTTAGATGTGGCATTTGCAGTGATATAAACAGGTAAAATAAATAAGAATACAGTAAAATAACTAATGCTGGGAATTATTAAAGCTTTTTGAGGAACCCTTAGTTGGAAAATATTGACTAATAAATCCTTTAGATTGTAAGCTCCACGAGCAGGGCACTCCTATTCCCTCTGTACTGAAACGTATTGTAATTGTACTGTCCCCCTTATATTGCAAAGCGCTGCACAAACTGTTGGCGCTATATAAATCCTCAAAATAATAATAACTAAAAAATAATAGTCATGGGAAAAAAGTGAACTTCCCATACCGGGAGTCGAACCCGGGCCGCCTGGGTGAAAACCAGGAATCCTAACCGCTAGACCATATGGGAGGCTGTAGAAGAAGTTCTGCATTTTGCTGTGAAGAGTAAAGCACAACACAAATGTGCTTCTAGGAATGCTGTTATTATATCTTATTGTTACAACCATGTGAACACATTATATAGGCAAATCTTTTAACTACTTGCCAACTGCAGATAGCCAAATGACGGATACACTGCGGCTGACCAGTTCTGGGAGGGCATCATATGACGTCCTCCTAGAACGCACTCTAATGCGCGTACCCGGTGATCTCCGTGATCGCTGTGTCCTACGAACACAGCTGATCACGTGATGTGGTAAAAGGCTAATCACAGCGGCCTTTTACCACGTGATCAGCCGTGTCCAATGACACACTGATCACCGGGAAATGCAATTGCCGGTTCTCAGCTGCACTTTCCTCGCGCGAAAGTACTGCCGAGAACTGGCAGTTGTCAGAGCAGGGATCGGTACCGATCATCAGTGCCCAGCAGTGCCACCCACCAGTTCCGCCCACCTGTGCCCAGCAGTGCCACCCACCTGTGCCCAGCAGTGCCACCCACCTGTGCCCATCAATGCAGTGCTGCCAGTCAGTGCCACCAGTCAGTGCCCAGCGGTTGTGCTAATCAGTGCACAGCAGTTGTGCCAGTCAATGCCTAGCAGTGCCGCCAGTCAGTGCCCAGCAGTGATGCCAGTCAGTGCCACCTATCAGTGCTGTCTATCAGTACCCATCATCAGTGCCACCTATCAGTGCCACCTATCAGTGCCGCCTATCCGTAACACTTCATTAGTGCTGCCTATCAGTGCCGCCTATCCGTGCCACCTCATTAGTGCTGCCTATCAGTGCCCTTCAGTGCTGCCTATTAGTTATCATCAGTGCTGCCTCATCAACGCACATCAGTGAAGGAGAAAAATTACCTGTTTGAAAAATTTTATAATAGAAACAAAGAACATTTTTTTTTTTTCACATTTTTAGCACTTTTTCTGTTTATAGCGCAAAAAGTAAAGTGCCCAGCAGCGATTAAATACCACCAAAAGAAAGCTCTATTTGTGAGAAAAAAATGATAAAAATTTCATATGGGTACAATCTTGCATGACTGCGCAATTGTCAAAGTGCGACAGCGCTGAAAGCTGAAAATTGGCCTGGTAAAGAAGGGGGTATAAGTGCCCGGTAGGCAAGTGGTTAAGGGGCAGGAATACCAGAGCAAAGAATTTGCTACTATACTACTACATTTTGTTGTATGTATCTGACTGTATCCAGGCTTGGACATCAGTCTGTAACCGCTTGGTGTGCAGTTACTTGCAAACAGCAATGGCCGCTGACAGCCTGTCATTGCTTCATACAGGCTGAGCAGCCACCGCTATGCACATGTACCTGTCATTCTAACTGCAAGATTTGCCACTGAAATCCAGTGTAACGTTCCATGTACACAGGACGTTTGAAAAACACTTCTGAACTGCTGGAAAACGAAAGTTAAAAAACATCAGTTTAGCCACGTTTGCATACCGCATTTATGCGCATTTGCGTTAAGAAGCATTTTTTAAAGACAACATCAGGAGACATTCCAAAAAGCCCAGAATGCACTGAAAAACAGTAAAAAAATAACTACCGTATTTTTCACTCCATAAGACGCACCTGACCATAAGACGCACCTAGGTTTAAGAGGAGAAAGACAAGAAAAAAAATATTCTGAACCAATGGACTGCAGACACAGTACAGGGGATGACCAGAGACTGCGGACATAGTACAGGAGATGGCCAGAGACTGCGGACATACTACAGGAGATGGCCAGAGACTGCGGACATACTACAGGAGATGACCAGAGACTGCGGACATACTACAGGAGATGGCCAGAGACTGCGGACACAGTACAGGAGATGGCCAGAGACTGCGGACACAGTACAGGGGATGGCCAGAGACTGCGGACACAGTACAGGGGATGGCCAGAGACTGCGGACACAGTACAGGGGATGACCAGAGACTGCGGACACAGTACAGGAGATGACCAGAGACTGCGGACACAGTACAGGAGATGACCAGAGACTGCGGACACAAAACAGGGGATGACCAGAGACTGCGGACACAGTACAGGGGGGATGACCAGAGACTGCGGACACAGTACAGGGGATGACCAGAGACTGCAGACAGTACTGGAGATGACCAGAGACTGCAGACAGTACAGGAGATGACCAGAGACTGCAGACAGTACAGGAGATGACCAGAGACTGTGGACACAGTACAGAAGATGGCCAGAGACTGCGGACACAGTAAAGGGGATGACCAGAGACTGCGGACACAGTACAGGGAATGACCAGAGACTGCGGACACAGTACAGGAGATGAGCAGAGACTGCGGACACAGTACAGGAGATGGCCAGAGACTGCGGACACAGTACAGGGGATGAGCAGAGACTGCGGACACAAAACAGGGGATGGCCAGAGACTGCGGACACAGTACAGGGGATGAGCAGAGACTGCAGACACAGTACAGGGGATGTCCAGAGACTGCGGACACAGTACAGGAGATGAGCAGAGACTGCGGACACAGTACAGGAGATGGCCAGAGACTGCGGACACAGTACAGGAGATGGCCAGAGACTGCGGACACAGTACAGGAGATGACCAGAGACTGCGGACACAGTACAGGGGATGGCCAGAGACTGCGAACACAGTACAGGAGATGACCAGAGACTGCGGACACAGTACAGGAGATGGTCAGAGACTGCGGACACAGTACAGGAGATGGCCAGAGACTGCGGACACAGTACAGTAGATGGTCAGAGACTGCGGACACAGTACAGGAAATGGCCAGAGACTGCGGACACAAAACAGGGGATGGCCAGAGACTGCGGACACAGTACAGGAGATGACCAGAGACTGCGGACACATAACAGGGAATGACTAGAAACTGCGGACACAGTACAGGGAATGACCAGAGACTGCGGACACAGTACAGAAGATGGCCAGAGACTGCGGACACATAACAGGGAATGACTAGAAACTGCGGACACAGTACAGGGAATGACCAGAGACTGCGGACACAGTACAGAAGACCAGAGACTGCAGACAGTACAGGAGATGACCACAGACTGCGGACACAGTACAGGGATGACCAGAGACTGCGGACACAGTACAGGGGATGACCAGAGACTGCGGACACAGTACAGGAGATGACCAGAGACTGCGGACACAGTACAGGAAATGACCAGAGACTGCGGACACAGTACAGGGGATGACCAGAGACTGCGGACACAGTACAGGGGATGACCAGAGACTGCAGACAGTACAGGAGATGACCAGAGACTGCAGACAGTACAGGAGATGACCAGAGACTGTGGACACAGTACAGAAGATGGCCAGAGACTGCGGACACAGTACAGGAGATGGCCAGAGACTGCGGACACAGTAAAGGGGATGACCAGAGACTGCGGACACAGTACAGGGAATGACCAGAGACTGCGGACACAGTACAGGGGATGGCCAGAGACTGCGGACACAGTACAGGGGATGGCCAGAGACTGCGGACACAGTACAGGGGATGGCCAGAGACTGCGGACACACTGTTTGTGTGCAGTAAATTATGGTGTGGAGTAAATTGATGTTTTGACTGACATTAGCCACAAGATGTCACTGTTTTTCTAACACAGGCTCAGACTGCATAGATATTTGTATATTCATGAAGAGGTGGGGTTTTCACACAGAGTTGGGGTTTGTGTTTTAAACGATGCTGATTGCAGGAGCCAAGTTTTGGACGATGCTGAATGCAGGGGCCGTGTGAGCTGAGAATCCAATGACATCCAGGTGTGAAAGCGTCCCTCACTAACCAGAGATTGCTGCCAGGAAACTGATGAGAGCAGAGGAACTAAGCAACATTTGTTCTGTTCAGAGTCACCAGCGGATGCAAAGCAGACCCGGGTCGGTAAGATCGTGCACGCACCTCATTTTAGTGTTGGTGCCCAGAGACTGAGTCCAGGCCGATAGTTAGTTAGTTAGGGTCTCTGTTTGTGTCAGGCTGCAAGTGTTGTTACTGATTATTGGAAGGACTCCACCACTTAAAGTGACATTTCACATTGGAGAACTGATAAAATCCTACAAACTCAAGCCAGACTGGCGTTTTGCTCAGAAGGAATACTCAGGCACATGCTACAGGACCAGTTATGGGAGAGGGAATGCTGTAGATTTGTGTAAGATTGTAAGCTGTTGTGCTGCACCGCAGGCTAGCCCATACCATACACCCATACACCGATTCTTGCTCTTTTAGGGTAATAACAGGTAAGGTGTGGCAGCTTAGTTGTGCCAGCCAGTAGGTAAATTACTTCACTTTCTACCTTCATCCATCAGAAGGCGCCGTGCTGTGCAGCACAAGGGTCTCAGCCTTTGGGATGGGTGTATGTAAATTTATTGTATGTTCCCAGCATTTGTGGTTGTGTTTACTTGCCACATCTAAGTAAAATTCTGTTGTGGCAAAAGCTGGTGTTGGGGTTGCTTTCCTCGTTCGTGACTTCACTGTATCCTGGGGAGCCCATCCCAGTACACAACCTCTGTAGGGTCCAGGAATCACCTCATGCAACCAGTAGTGACACTGATCCTAGCCAAATGCAAAACTAGTGAAAAACAGTCAGGAAAGATGAGTAGGGGAAAAAATGGCCTCCACTTGTAAAACCAATCCTGTTTTGGGGGTTGTCTCATTGTTGCCCATGTAATGCATCTGTTGTTAATTTCATTAACACCAAAGCAGCTAAAACTGATTAACAACCCCCTCTGCTACTTAACTAACTAGATCAATATCCCAGGAGTTTAATTGACTTGATGCTATACTCTGCTAAAAAAAAGTGTTCCTTTAAATTTTTTGAGCAGTGTATATTGGAATTCTTTATGGATTAATAAAGTTCACTGTTACATTTCAATATTACACAAACCTGGCAGACACATAATCTGTCTATAAAAGCCTTCCAGCCTTTGCCTTTGTTCTTAAATAGCCACACAGCCCAAAGGAAAACAGTTATTACACAAATGGATGTGAGGTTTTGAAACTTCCTCATGAGACAGTTGCGATGAGGAAAGCCAAAGCATAACCACATACATCCTTTCTAAAACGGATGTTGCAAAAGTTTTGCATTAATAGAGTGGAGCATATCTCAGTCATGCAAAGTAAATGACATCTGACAGGTAGTGAACCCGAAAAGGCACCAGGAGATCTCTGCACATGTTCTTCAATCTACTCCAGCTTTCTATAAATGCCTTGAATCTATGGCCCTCAGAGTCATGGCAGCTTCCAGCAATGTGTGCCTCTGACACCTTTAGAAAGGATTCTACATCAATAAATGGAATGTGGTGTTTTCTACATAGATCAGTGTTTCTCAACTGCCTTTTAATAAATATTCTATGAATATAAACTTTTTTTTTTCACTTTTGGGGCATGGAAGCTCTTTGAAGAAAATACTAGGCCCAGGTCTCAAAGAAGCTCCTGCTCTTTTTCAGGTGACAAGCTTCACAGTTTGATACGATTGCCGTGCGATCCTGTCACACGCTGCAGAATCGTGCTGCATTTGGGATACCATTGGATAATAATGGCACTCCAACATGTGTAGTGCATTGTGCTGAGATGTGAACGGGCTTTTAGGGTGGCTGCACAATGGATGAAAGAACAGGGTATGACGTTATCATTATCAATCTGGGGAGAGAATAATACCAGCAGATTTCAATGACTTGACTAACAAATTAAAGCCTAAGTCCTTCTAATACTTTTGTAAGAGTTACAGCAACATTTTTTTCCTTTTAGGATAAAGGTTTCACATAAATGAATAAAAGCTGATCATTGTAAGCACCCCTGTCAGTGGTAAATGGTAAGAAATATAGAAACATAGAAAAGGACGTCAGAAAATACCAAGTGGTCCATCAAGTCTGCCCTTTGGGTGTTTATTTATAAATACATGTTTTTGTTATTTTTTGTTTTTGTTATTTTTTTTTTTGTTGTTCACTTTTGTCTCAGCCTTGTAGCTGCCACTTTTTTGGACAGTGAGGACTGTTAAGGGAAGTTGAAATGTAACAGGCTAAATCTATATCCACATGGGCACTGGGATGCAATTAGTTTGCTGTGTTTAGAGGTGGCTAAACAACGCCAATGAATGGAGCTGCAGTCTTTGTGGTGGCCACATACAAATTGGCTGAGTAGTTGCGGCCAGTTTATGTGAGGCCAGAAGCTCTGCAAAAACACAGTCCCTGGACATACACTGTGTGAATCTAGGGTTGGTCAGAGGCTCTATTTGCATATATGTCATGTGCTGACGAAGTCCAAGGTGATTGGCGGACGAAACGCGTCAATGTAAATATGTCATCGCACCCTGATGTGATGTTCACAGGTGTCCTCACAGACATGTGAGCACACAAGACCGGACTTGGAGCCGCATGTTTGATACTTTGCACTGCTCTACAATATACACTGTCCTCAATAGAAGTGATTTCCAGAGACGATTGGAAAACCTCAATGGGGATGTCAGGGATCCCCGCGGCCCTGGTCCCGGCGCAGTCGCAGTGCGCCACTCTGTGCAGGGACGCGGGCACCAGTTCCTGGTCGACAGCGGCATTCAGGCTCGCGCATGCACAGTAGGAACCGCGGTCGCGTGCCGGGCACCAATGACAGCGCAGGGAGTGATATTTAAACGGCCCTGAGCTGTCATTCAGTGCCTTCTGGTCTCTTCTGCATACCTGTACCTGTGATCCTGTTTTCTGTAAGTTGCTGACCCAGATTGGACCTGACCCTTGCTGTATTCTCCCACCCTGACCCCTGGCTTGCCTGACCTCTCTCCTGGATGCCCCTTATTAGATCTGACCTCCTGTTGCTGACCTGGCGTGTGACCCGACTATTCTCTGCCCGCTGCTTTGTACCGCACTGACCCCACTGTTACCGACCCAGCTTGTCTGACTTTGCATCTGCTCATCCATCCATCCCACCGGGGTCTCCCGACCTCCTCACATCAGGCTCTTCCCCGTGGGAGCCCCTGGCGAATACCCCTACCGCTGACAGGTATACTCAGGAGCCACGACCTGGTCTCAGGGTACTCCAAGTCCATCCCCACCATCGGGGGCTCTGGTGAACAAGTACTCTGGGGCTTAGATTCTGTGCTCTGGGAACGCCTAATCAGTGGAGTGCTAGTGGTACCGCCAGGCGGTCCCTTACAGGGGAACAGTACAGAACGCAGTGTACGAAGTGCACAGGAGATCAACTACTCAACACCAAGTTATGAAGTGCTGGATGCACCCTTGGAGAGAGTGATTCAACGCATCATTCATTTCAGCTAGAGTTGTGTTTATACCTTTATGTACGCTGATCTGCTTAAACCCATACATCATTTGAAGGCTATCCTTTAAGACAACTTCTGTTCATTGCTGGAACAGTCATTTACTTCCTTTTAGTCCCTGGTTTCAAAACACATGATAACTAAAATAGACAATGACTGCTTTTAACATCATTTGAGACTCATGGGATCAACCATACGGATATTGGGATAACCAAATCGTGTTCTCTGGATTACCTATATGACCCTCAGTATTTCATATTCCCAGGATAACTGGAACTTTTGAGATTTAGGTTCTGACTGTTTTTCATTATTATGGACATTTTCATGATGCTGATGGTCATTTTTTGCCCTTTATATGGAGCTACTTATTGAATTATTCTTAACCTCCTTAATTAGATTAGATTCAGCTTTATTGTCATTGCACAAAGTACATGTACAGAGCTAATGAAATGCAGTTAGCATCCAGCCAGAAGTGCATAAATGACCCATTTACAATAAATAACAATATAACAAAATCGGGGGAATGGAATATACAGTAATACCATAATCAGTGCAATGAGCAGTGCATTAATGGATGAAATATTCAGTAATGCAATGATGAATAAAATATACAGTAATGCAATATTGTCTAATGATTAGCTATTCAATGATTTAACAGCTACAAGGAAAAAAATATTTTTCAGTCTATTTGTACGGGCTCTGAGACACCTGTATCGTTTGCCAGATACAGGTAGATATAATAGGGCTATATCTACTATTGTTAATTGGCTAGAGCAGGGCTTGAAATCTGCACTCGCCTGCTCGCCAATGGCGAGTGGAAATTATGGTGGGGGCGAGTGTGTCCCCCAGGGCCATCTTGCTGAGCAGGCTCGGAACTCAGGCCGGATGTGTCATTGGCACTGGGAGCTGTCAGACTGCTCAATAGCTGAGCGCAGTGAAAGCAAAGGAAGGAGTGTGTGCTGTGCTCTCTGCCTCCCCCTACAGTGCAGTACCCGGCTCTGTGAGTGAACAGCGAAGTACTGCAACATTTTATGGGGTGTGTGTGTGTGTGTAGGTGTACATGTGTGTGTGTTTGTGTGTGTCTGTGTATGCATGTACATGTGTCTGTGTGTATGTACATGTATGTGTGTTTGTGCATGTACGTGTGTGTATGTACGTATGTGTGTCTGTATGTACATGTGTCTGTGTATGTATGTACATGTGTCTGTACGTGTGTATTTCTGTGTATGTACATGTATCTGTGTGTATGCATGTCTGTACATGCCTGTGTGTGTATACATGTGTCTGTGTGTGTGTGTGTACATGTGTCTCTGTGCGTGTGTGTGTACATGTTTCTGTGTGTGTATGTACATGTCTGTGTGTGTGTGTGTACAGGTGTCCCTGTTTGTGTGTGTTTGTTGGTGGCGAATAACTCTAGGCCTGGCTAGTAGCTCAGGACTTGAAATTTTAAGCCCTGGGCTAGAGCATACCTGCGGTTATTGGCAATTTATATCACACAATATTATTGACATTCTGTTGATATTGCAATCCGGATTGCTGTTTTTTATCTATTTGTGGTGTGCTTCTTCACCTTGCAAGGTTTCACTTTTTTGTTAGATTTGCAGTAAAGGATTTTGTATTTCAAACTACTCTGCTTGGGTTTATTTAGGACCGTTCTTTTCACAGCCTACTCTATTGGCTGTATTTTTTGTGCAATAGGTTTCCTCGGTTATAACCCACATCTTTATTCATGATGAGACAGAGAGTTATTATGTAGGAATGATCCATCTACTTTTGTGGCACTTTTCTTATTATTCTGTTCTCATATAATCGAGGTTACACACGATCAGTGATGGTAGAGTACACATTGGATGTTGCTAAAGCTCATGTAGCGTTTACAACTGCTGGCAAGAATCTACTGCTTCTCACTGGTAGCTGCCCATGTGTGGCCCTGTGAATGTAACCTTACTGGCTGGATCATCAGATGAAAATAAAATGTAAAAAAATGTAGAAAATGAAAACTAGCGCAACAATCACATATGACTTGGTAAGCTACAATATAATATGATTCAAATATAATATACATTTTTTTTTTGGTTTAATACCACAATACATTTGACACACTAGGCAATTCTTCCCCTGTATGTTTAAATATAGTGGAAGAGGTGCTAGATCACAAAAGTGATATCTGAAAAGTAATAAAAAAAAACACTTCCTCTTTCTCTATAGATACCACATCCCCATTCTGCACAGCGACCTTCTACACTCAGAAGCACACGACACCAAAGAGATACAGCTCCTGCCTGCACCATGGACCAAGAAATCCTGGGACAGATCGTCCTTCTGGCAATTGTCACTTTGATCAGCGTTATCCAGAATGGTAGGATTAGTGCAGATTATATTAACATAATTAAAAAATATATTTTTTAAGTTTTCCTTTATATTGCTTTTTGCCTGTAACCTGTAGAATAGATGCTATGTATTCCTCTTTTTTTGATTAAGTCATGTTACCTTCCTTTTCCGTGGATCCATTCTCCACCTTACTATGTGCTTTTAGCAATGTCCACTTTTTTAGATTTTGTGCACTGCCATGGGGGAGTCCTTTGTGCACATAACTAATTGGAACCTACAGTTGGTTGTAAGTAGCAGTCTTCCATAGTAGAGTTCTCAGCATCCTTGGAATAGAGGCAGTTGAGATTTTACTTTGTTATAGATTATATCTTATTCGTATTAGATCTGAACCTTATATTAAGTGGTAAGCAGGGGGCGGACTGACAACTCATGGAGCCCTCGGGCAATAGGGGATCATGGGGCCCCTGTGTCCTTGCCCAAACTCAAAAAAGCCTATGAAAAAGGTACCAGCAACATCTCATGGGGCCCCCTACTGACCCCGGGCCCTTGGGCAGTGCCCAAGTTTCCAAATGGTCAGTCCGCCCCTGGTGGTAAGATAAATAAAGGAAAATAGACACAGCTGTCCAGTATTGCAATAGGTTACCAATTGTAGCAGTGGCCTCACAATGGCCCTGTACTATCCTGGTGTTAAAGCTGAAGACATTTGTGTGATCAGCAAGTAGCCAGATTAATAGAGGAATGATGTGTCATTAGCTGATGCTGCTTTAAAGTTTGAGCTTAAGGTATCCTTCCACACCCTGAGCTCACCATTGCAGTTATGTAGTTAGGAGTCAACATTTTCAGCATTAGGCAATGTTTTTTCTGATGTTCCTTAAGCTGGCCTTAGATGGATCGAGAATCAGCCGGTTCAGAAAAGACTGGCCGAATTTCCATCCATCTATAGCTGTTCCTGCTCAAGAGAAGTTGATCTAATGAACAGCTTCTCTCAAACGGGATTGTTGGAAAATTTTCTTTCAATCCTTGGCCAATTGGCTGTATTGCTGATCAGTGTATATTGACAGCGGAAGAGTCCTCACTGTCAGAAATCAGAAGGACAGTGGGTAAGATTCCTTCATCCACCTTGCTTGTGTGGATGTGGGAATCTGTTCATTTTTTTTCTTTTAACAACCCACTGGCTGTTAAAAGAAAAACAATCCATCTATGGCCAGCTTTAAGCAGCCCATATATGGAGCAAATTTATTTCCTGCAACCATGGGTTGACAGGGGAATCCCTCACACTGAGTCATTGTATTCTCCTGGTGGGGGACAGGGGAAGCCACCCCCCCCATGAGAAGACAGTGATTATTGCTAGCGATTATACTAGGCTATATTATCTGCTAGCGATAATCACATGTAAATCGATCAATTAACTTGGCACAATCAGTCTGTCCATACATACAAGTCCATACTGTTCTTACTGAACAGAACAAGATTCTAACTGTCTATGGCAGGCCTTAGTCTATTAAAAATGCATTGGCAGTTTACTGTGAATAGAAGAGGAACCCTGTATGGACACAGATGGTATAACACATACTGCCAATAATGAAATGCATTGTGGGCAGGAGAATGGCCACTGTACCCCAAAATTGTACTCAGTCCATACAAAGAATTTATTGGGACTTTTAAGGTACTATAAAATTACACAAACCAGTATATTTGATTTTGAAGGTAATATTTTATTATTACAGTGTAAAAAACAAATATCCTTCACCCAAAAAATGTCAGCAATAGTATATCTAGACTATTTTTATGTACCACCCATACATCTCCATATATGTGCCTTATATTGCCCATGGTTTAATCAGATTTACACATATGTCCAATTTACACATCGAAATGCCCAAACGTGGGCTCCAGAATTCTGACATCAAGTTCATCACCAGTGAGTAGGGCACGTTCTCAACATTTTTCACATAACATTGCTTCCTGAGGAGAAATGGAGGGATCGTCTATAATATTATAACAAACAAATGATAAAATAATAAACTAGAAATACTAAACATATCAATATACATACGAGGTGGTATCAAAAAGTTTATTGACTAGCTCTGTTTACAAGAAAGTAGTTTATCTACGTTTACACACTATCACCTTCAAAATAGTCCCCTTGCACAGCAATACAGCACTCCCAGCATTTCTGCCACTTCTGAAATGTGTCCTGGAAGTCTTCTTTTTGAAGTGTGTCAAGCACCTTCTGCTATCCATGCTGGATCTCATTGGCAAAACAGCAACCTTTGAGTTGGAGGGCAAAGTCTGCAGGAGCCAAAATTTGGTGAGTAGGAAGCGAGATCATTGCAGCCTGGGGATGAACTTGGCAGCAACATGGTGCATGTTCAAATCACATGTGAGGATTGTATGGACTGTTCTGTATGACACACCAACAATGGCAGCAATGTTGTGGATTGTTCTCCAATGATCATCATGCACAAGTTGGCGAATGGTTTTGACATTTTAAGGGGTTGAGCTTGTTGAAGGTCTTCCTGATCTCTTGTCGTCTTCCAGCGATGTTCTTACACTCTTGAAGCGCGCATGGCACTTTATGCACCTTGAACGACTCATTGCAGCATCATAGTAAACTTGCCGAAACATGCCAAATGTCTTTCTGTAGCAGATTTGCCCAGTTTCACGCAGAATTTCACATTTGTTCTTTGTTCTAACTTGCTGTCCATGATGAAATAGCAGATGTGGCAACAAACGTGGTCACAATAGCACCAGTTGCACAGCTCCTGGTGTACACAGGACGATGTCTTTTTGCACATTGACTTATGTAGGTTGGTGCTCCCTGTGACTGTGCGTGCAGCCTTGAGTTGCCATCTGTTGGCATGTTAAAAAACTAGCCTTGAACTTTTTTGATACTGCCTCGTACATATGAATAATCTGCACAATATTTCAGCACTGGTGCCATTTAGGGAACACTTTGCTTTTTCTCATTAAATATAAAGCATTCTCTGATTGGACTATGTGAAGAAGTGAGGCAGTGACATCACATTCTCCACCTCCTTCAATTAGAGAATACTTTGCAATTTAACAAGGCCTGGGAAATTCTTCTAAAACTTTCCACGCCCCAACAAAAAAGAAAAAAATTTATACTCACAGAAGAAAAGTATGAGTATGCTAAAAACAGATGTGGCTGGTATCAGTGTGGGGGGGAAAGATGGGGTTGTGGAGAGGGTTAGGGGACTCTGTTAGGGGGAGGCTGCAGTTCAGCAGTAAGCAGAACCACTGTTCCACAGAATAGGGAAAGAACATGTGTACAAAGTAAAGGAAATCTGTATTCTTTTAAAACAAACATACTATATATATATATATATATATATATATATTATATATATACACACACACTGCTCAAAAAAATTGAAGGAACACTTTTTAATCAGAGTAAAGCATCAAGTCAGTAAAACTCCTGGGATATTGATCTGGTCAGTTAAGTAGCAGAGGGGGTTGTTAATCAGTTTCAGCTGCTTTGGTGTTAATGAAATTAACAACAGGTGCACTAGAATGGCAGCAATGATATAACCCCCAAAACAGGAATGGTTTTACAGGTGGAGGCCACTGACATTTTTTCCATACTCATCTTTTCTGACTGTTCTTCACCAGTTTTGCATTTGGCTAGGGTCATTGTCACTACTGGTAGCATGAGGCGATACCTGGATCCTACAAAGGTTGCACAGGCAGTCCAACTGCTCCAAGATGGCACATCAATATGTGCCATTGCCAGAAGGTTTGCTGTGTCTCTCAGCACAGTCTCAAGAGCATGGAGGAGATTCCAGGAGACAAGCAGTTACTCTAAGAGAGCTGGAAAGGGCCGTAGAGGGCCTTAACCCATTGACAGGACCAGTATCTGCTCCTTTGTGCATCGAGGAACAGGATGAGCACTGCCAGAGCCCTATAAAATGCCCTCCAGCAGGCCACTGGTGTGAATGTCTCTGACCAAACAATCAGGAACAGACTTCATGAGGGTGGCCTAAGGGCCCGACATCCTCTAGTGGGACCTGTGCTTACTACGCGGCACCATAGAGCTCGATTGGGATTTGCCATTGAACACCAGAATTGGCAGGTCCACCACCGGCGCCCTGTGCTTTTCACAGATGAGAGCAGGTTCACCCTAAGCACATGTGACAGATGTGAAAGCGTCTGGAGAAGCTGTGGAGAACATTCTGCTGCCTGTAACATTGTTCAGTATGAGCAGTTTGATGGTGGGTCAATGATGGTCTGGAAAGACATATCCATGGATGGACGCACAGGCCTCTACAGGTTAGACAATGGCACCCTGACTGCCATTAGGTATCGAGATGAAATCTTTGGACACTGGTACAGTGGGTCCTGGATTTCTCCTGGGACACGACAATGCCTGGCTTCATGTGGTGAGAGTATGCAGGCAGTTCCTGGAGGATGAAGGAATTGATACCATTGAATGGCCCCCACGCTAGCCTGACCTAAATCCAATAGAACACCTCTGGGATATCATGTTACGGTCCATCCGACGATGCCAGGTTGCACCTCAGACTGTCCAGGAGCTCAGTGATGCCCTGGTCAAGATCTGGGAGGAAATACCCCAGGACACCATCCGTCGTCTCATTAGGAGCATGCCCTGATGTTGTCAGGCATGCATACAAGCACGTGGGGGCCATACAAACTACTGAGTACCATTTTGAGTTTCTGCAATGAAATTTCAGCAAAATGGACTAGCCTGCTGCATAATTTTTTCACTTTGATTTTTGGGGTGTCTTTGAAGGTTTTCTGTAGGTTGATAATTTTAATTTCCATCAAACCATGGGGCATTCTTATGTTCCTAACACATTACCCAGTCCATATCAGTATAGATATCCAGCATGATATTTTTCCCCATTGAGATCTGATGTGTTTTCAAAGTGTTCTTTTTTATAAATTTTACCCAAACCCATTATACACTGCTCAAAAAAATTATATATATATATTATTATTATTATACAGGATTTATATAGCGCCAACCGTTTGCTCAGCACTTTA